TGTTAATTATTACTATATTTTAAATATAAACTCGGATCATACTAGAGGAGTGATGATGTAACCACATCATGCTCATGTAAATTAAGTGACCATTGGACGCACAGCCTAGGAAAAGAAAAGCGTGAGTATAGATAAAATGCATGGAACGGGTTAGGACTCTGTGTAACAAAGACAATATACGAGGATAGTGGGGAAGAAAACACAATTAGAAATAAGAGGATGTAAGATCCATATGAAAGATAATGAAGATTCATTATTTCATACTAACCACCAATATTATGTCATTTGAATCTGGCAACTGTTTGAAGCAACGACTTGTGTACTATTCGTTAATTCGTTTCTTAGTACTAGTGGATGTGGGCTGTTGGCTGTATTAGCCAGTAACCCAGCCAATGACGATTAGAAGCAAATTATGCATGGACGCACGTTTAAGCCTTAAGCATCATTCAATTGTAAACCCTAGTCATAAACTGCTACATAAATATTGCATGTAGGCTTGCAAGATTAACCACTTGCATCGTTAAAATAAGAGATTTCAATATTTTCGAATAAGTTGGTGCTCAATCATTTTGCAGTGATTATATCATCCACTTCTAACTTTCCATTTGCAGTGATTTACGGCTCAAAATTAAGCTAATACAAAAATTCGGTTTGAATTTGACTTCTTAGTTGGATTCCTTGCTTAGTGAAGAGATGTTGTTAATTACCTATTCGATTAATTAGGAATTGAATTTACTTCCAATTAAGATTGGAATTCTCATTGTGACCTAAGTCCTATGCACTATAAATAAGACCTTAAAGTTGGTTTATTTTGTGTGGCTTATTTGAGTGGCAAATTTGTGCAAGTCAAGTTGTATGTGACTTAGAGAGCAATTTGGGAGAATCTCTTCCGCTTGTGGGACCATGACTTTTCAATGCTGGACTGATCCGAATACAGTTACCTCAGAAGTTCGGTCATGAACACACAAGCTCCCTAGCGGAGTTTGTATCAAACAAAGTAGCGGTGCCACCATCACTTTACTCCGAGACACTAGGTGGATTCCTAGCGACTCTACTGGATGACCATGCTTGTTCTACAAGACATGTGATTTGATCTAGATATGGACACATCATATTAAAATTTGAAATGACCAAAATATCCCTAACTTCATTTTTTTTCAAAACCAGAGAATTTAACGAAATAACTTCAATTAAATCTCCAAAATACTTCCATAATGAAATAAAATCACTAAGTTCAGGATGGGATATCATAAAAAAATCTGAGAGCATCTTCTTCGAGCTAAAGATAATTGAAAACACTAGCTTTCTAAAGAATAATACCCTTCTCAATTCACAGAATGGGATAATACTCTACCAAAACCAACATCAAAACTGTTGACTTTTGTATTTTAGGTAGGATCCCTGATTGATATGTAATCCCGTGTATTATCATGTAATCACTTGTAATTAGTTATCTTTCCATTTATGTTAGGGTTGTACACCTATAAGTACCTCTTATTGAGAAGAATATATTCATCATTCAAAGCATTCTCTACTTGGTACCAGAGCCAGAAAAACCCTAACTGGTAACCACCATTGATTTCTTGCGATGCTGACCTGTTCAGCACATCATTTAGAAAAAGGCAATCCACCGCTCCAGTAGCACTGCACCTTTGATTAGCGAGCGGCTGCTGTGCCATTGCTGCCCCTCTGAAGAAATCACAGCGAGCGACCTGTTTGCCTCGTTGTTGTTGTGCTCAACCAAGCGCAACGAGCAACCTTGCTTTGTTGCTGTCCAAGAAACTGTGAATCAGCTTTACTGCTGTCCGAAATCCGTTGAACTTGCCCAAAGAAATTTGTTGGCTCATCCGCATCACGCTGGAGAGCCTGAACCGCGAACTCATCTGAGATCGCTGCTGCAATCAGAAAACCCAGACAATCCCTGCTGCTTCAAGACTGCAGACCCATACCATCTTTTATTTAAGTTTTGTATTGTTTTAAAAGGAAAAAAAAAAGAAAACAAAAAGAAAACAAAAAGAAAAAAAAAAGAAAAAAAAAGAGGAAAAAAAAAAGAAAAAAGAAGGAAAAAAAATATCAGCTTTGCTTTGTAAATTGCTTTCTTTTGTTTTTTCATTGGTGGGCTACCTTGTTGGCCCATACTGATTGGTTTCTTAGGCTCAGCTTGCTTGGAGGTCTAGGCTACATCAATCAAGGACTCGTGGACTAATTATAACTAGTTGGGAATGGCCTCGATTACTGAAGCTAAGATCCATTCTGAACATATAGCCGAGAAAGTGTCGGCCTGTCTTAATGATACAGGTAATGATGGTAAGGTTTTCCAAGTTTCTGCATCTATTATGAATAGTACATGGATAATTGATTCTGGTGCTACTGAACATATGACTTGTGATTCTAGACAGGTACAAACCTTAAAACCATCCACCAATACTATAGTTAGTGTTGCCAATGGTAATGTTGTCCCCATTATTGGGGAAGGCGATGTCTCCCTCTCTGATACCCTAAATCTTGACTCCGTACTTGTTGTTCCTTCCCTTGACTATAATTTATTATCTGTTGCTCAAATAACTGTCGCCCTACATTGCCTTGTTATTTTTTGGCCTTCCTTTTGTGTTTTTAAGGACATTCGGACTCGTAAGAAGATTGGTTATGGTATTCGGAAGGGAAAGCTATACTACTTAGAGCTGACATCGAACAGTGCTCGAAATTTGACTCAAGCTCTTGCCGTGGAAGGATCTCATCGGGAAAGGGATAAAGATTCGGAGGTTTGGTTGTGGCATCGTCGACTTGGACATGCTTTTTTCGGCTATTTACGAAGGTTGTTTCCTAGCCTATTTGTTAAGCATGACGTTTCTAGCTTTAAATGTGGTGTTTGTGAAATGGCTAAAAGTCATCGTACTTCGTTTCCGCCTAGTTTGAATAAAAGTTCAATCCTATTTATGATAATTCATTCTGATGTTTGGGGACCATCTAAAACTGCCACATTTGGCGGTGCTCATTGGTTTGTTACTTTTATTGATGACTGCACACGTATGACTTGGGTTTGTTTGATGAAGTCCAAAAGTGAAGTTACTTCTTTGTTTCAGCGGTTTTCCAAAATGGTACAAGTACAATATAAGTCATAAATACAGGTTCTTGGGAGTGACAATGGCGGCGAATATGTAAACTCTAAACTTTGTGCCTTCCTTGATCATCATGGTATTGTTCATCAGACTACATGTCCATATACTCCACAACAAAATGGTGTTGCAGAACGCAAGAATCGTCAGCTTCTAGAGGTTGTTCGTGCTTCTTTGCTCGAGGCGCGTCTCCCTTTATCTTTTTGGGGAGAAGCTCTCACCTCAGCTGCGTATGTCATGAATCGTGTTCCATCCTGATCAGTCGACTTTCAGACACCATTCCAGACTCTCTCTTCATATGTTGATGCTCCTACAGTTCCTAATCTTCCACATCACGTTTTTGGCTGTGTAGCCTTCGTTCATCTTCATAAACAGCAGAGAAGTAAGCTTGAACCTCGGGCCTTATGGTGTGTGTTTGTGGGGTATGCCTCAAATCAGAAGGGGTATCGTTGTTATCACCCTCCGACGAAAAAATTGTTTGTTACTGTAGATGTTGCATTTCATGAGAATGATATGTACTTTGCCAATCCCGAGTCTTCACTTCAAGGGGAGAATCAGACAGAAGTTCAAACTCTTGATTATACTATTCCAGATATAGATAGTGTGAATGATTTGGATTTAAGTGGTGATGTCTTGAAAATAAGTGGTGATCATTCACACGAAAACAATGACATGAATGAATTGGAACTAAGTGGTAATGCCTTGGAGACAAATGGTGATCATTCACATGGAAACAATGTTGAAGACCTTGACAGGGACGAGTTGACATTGCCAGATAACTCATTGCCTGATAGCTCACTGCCAGTTTCCTCACCACCGGACAATCCTATGTCGCCAACTATCTCACAGTCGATCTCGAGTCCCAATAACCATAATCAATCATCTTCGATCCCGGATGCACCATCACCACACCGTCTCCCTGATCGCGTCAATCGAGGTATTCCTAAACTTACTTATGAAGCCGACCCTAAATGCAAAACTAGGTATCCAATGAGTAAGCCCAACCCTGAGTCTAATGTGTTATACCCGTTAAGTAATTATGTGTCTACTAGTCACCTGTCAAAATCAAATAAGTCATATATGCATCAATTATCTACTGTATCTATTCCTAACTGTGTGCATGAGGCATTAACTGATCCATGCTGGCAAGCAGCAATGAATGAAGAGTTGAAGTCTTTGAAGAAGAATGCTACCTGGGAGATCACAGACTTGCCAACCGACAAGAAACCTATGGGCTGTAAATGGGTTTATACTGTGAAGTATAAAGCTGATGAGACGGTGGATCGCTTCAAGGCAAGACTGGTAGCAAAAGGGTACACTCAAAAATATGGAATTGACTATACAGATACATTTGCTCCTATGGCCAAGATCAACACAGTTCGTGTTTTGTTGTCCTTGGCTGCAAATCTTGATTGGCCTTTACAACAGTTCGATGTGAAGAATGCATTCTTGCATGGAGATTTGACAGAAGAAATTTATATGGATCTTCCACCTGGATGTAATGCTTCAGATAAATACAAAAGAAAGGTGTGCAGATTGAAGAAATCCTTGTATGGCTTGAAGCAGTCTTCTCGAGCATGGTTTGGAAGATTCACAAAATCTATGAGAGCATTTGGTTACAGACAAAGTAACTCTGATCATACTTTGTTCCTGAAAAGACAGAATGGAAAGCTTATTACACTTATTGTGTATGTAGATGATATGGTGGTAACAAGTAATGATCTGGAAGAACGTGTGGCCTTGCAAAGATACATGTCTACAGAATTTGAAATGAAGGACCTTGGATCCTTGAAATATTTTTTAGGGATTGAGGTGTCGAGAAGCAGTTCTGGAATTTTCTTGTCTTAGAGGAAGTATATTATTGATTTGTTGCACGGAACTGGCATGTCAGCTTGTCAGCCAGAAGCTACACCATTAGAAGAAGGATTGAAGCTTAATATTGATCCTAATCAAGTACCAGTTGACAAAGGAACATACCAAAGGTTAGTAGGCCGCTTGATGTATTTGGCACACACAAGACCAGACCTTGCTTATGCCTTGAGTGTAGTAAGTCAATACATGCATGATCCTGGAGAACAACATATGAATACCGTGATGAGAATATTGCGATATTTTGAAGGGAAGTCCGGGCAAAGGATTTTGTTTAAAAGGAATAATGACTTTAGTATTGAAGGTTATACTGATGCAGACTGGGTAGGTTCCATTGATGATAGGCGCTCAACATCAGGTTACTTTACGTTTGTTGGGGGTAACTTGGTTACATGGAGAAGTAAGAAACAGAATGTCGTTGCCTATTCCAGTGCAAAAGCTGAATACAGAGGTATGGCTTTAGGGATTTGTGAAATTTTGTGGCTTAAGCTTCTGTTAAGCGATTTGGGTATACAACATGATTAGCCCATGAAATTATTTTGTGATAATAAAGCTGCCTGTGACATTGCACATAATCCGGTACAGCATGATAGAACAAAGCATGTTAAAGTTGACCGGTTCTTCATCAAAGAAAAATTGGAAGGAAAAATAATTGAAGTACCGGCGATAAAAACAGAAGATCAGGTGGCAGATATCCTCACAAAAGCTGTTTCAAGTCACAAGTTTTCAAGTTTCTTACACAAGTTGGGCATGAGTGACATATATGCACCAACTTGAGAGGAAGTGTTGACTTTTGTATTTTAGGTAGGATCCCTGATTGATATGTAATCTTGTGTATTATCATGTAATCACTTGTAATTAGTTATCTTTCCATTTACGTAAACCTATAAGTACCTCTTATTGAGAAGAATATATTGATCATTCAAAGCATTCTCTACTAAAACGTCATCATATAAGAAAACCCTAGAGTTTTTTTTATTATTATTTATATTTTTTAAAGAAGAGACCCCTGAGTTAGCACCAAGGACCAAAATATCGATAATATCAGCGAAATATCGCCGATATTATCGTTTTTTTGAGATAACGATATTTTAACACTTATCCCTTAATTATCGTCAATATATCGTGAAATATCGATAATATCGCAATATTATCGATAATATCTTACGATCAGTAAGGGTAATGATCTTCTGGTCCAAGCGCGAAGATGCTTTATTGTTCGGGCTTCTGGTCCTTTTTATAATCCCTCCACCAGCTTCTTCTTTATGACTTGGGCGATGTGGGACAACAGCAACAACTCTAATTTCACAATTGTATTGTATTCTTTGCCTTACCATTCAATAGCCACCAGCTTTATCCAACAAAATTGCGTTTTTATTATGGGTAATGATCTTTTGGACTTATTCGAGTTGCAATTTAGTTTTTCAATTACCCGCCAAAGAATTTAAGGCTACTTCGATTTATACATTTTAGGTTGGGGAATGAGTTTAACGATGAGTACTAATTTTCTCACATTGCACCATTAGAAAAATATCATATTGATATACGTCTTTTGGTTATTTGCTAATTTGACTGTTCGCCAGAATAATGATATGATAGGCATTTGATTTATTTGTGGGCTAACGAGGGAAACCAAACTAGCACATATGAACAAAAACTCGTTATTGTAGAGCTTCGGCTTCTATTCAAATTAGTAACATGAAAGGAAAACCAATCATACAATTTAGTCTAAATGGTGGAAGTGACGTTTCTACGTCAGTCTTATATTTACTACATCATCAATTTAAGTAAAAACCTATAATTACCTAAGTAGAACCGTTCATCTCATTGTGGCGTCTTCGATTACTAAAACATAATCATGTACTATGTCTATATGATTTTGTATTAACACGTTGGATAAAAATATCACTCAAAATTTTGATATGGCTTTCAAAATTGACCAAACATTTTTCTTTTTTCTCGAAACTAGATGATGTAAAATGTGATTAACCAAATTATTATTATTTAAAAAAAATAAAGAAAAATTAGTATCCGATCCCTAGTTTCTAATGTTCATTGACTAAGATCTTATCAGTTTTTATATTTTGATCAAAGTCCCTAGCATTAATGAATTACATGTTAGTTACATAACTTTCATAACAAAAATTAGTAATTGATTTAGAGTTTTAATACTCACATCCTTATTAAACTCCTAGTTAATTTTCAATTCAAACATTTCAGATATATAAAAAATAAAATAAGGATAAGTTTGTACCCATTAATTTTTATAAAAAAATTGATATGTACCCGTTATAAAAATAAGTCACTCATGTATCTTATCATGCAATGTATAAAGTGTAAAATATTGTACTAATTCATTATGTATAAATGATTATGGTGTGTTCAAACTTCTTTCATTAATTACTACATATTTTCTACACTCACAATGTTTGCCAGCTCGTTATATAATCAACTTAAATCAATTAAATCCATCATGCAATGCATTTCCTTCCAATTTTTTGTGGTAAACTAATAGATAATTGACTAAATAAACATCCTGCAAAGTTTCAATAAAAATTTCCAAGTTTTTCTTACAATTTCCGTGGTTTCCATATTATTTTTATCGATATCGATAATATCCCGATATTTCCATCGATATTTCTGTGTTTTTGGACTACTGATATTTCCGATATCATCGATATTTTATACCTTGGTTAGCACAAACAAAGATTCCTAGTTTGGACAATGAGGATGTAAAATGTAAAACAACATTTTTAATGTGCTTACCAAAATGATTTTGTCACACGAATTGCATCTTTTTCTCCACCTTTGAAGGGTCAATCAAACCATGCTGCGCAAAGGGGAAAATAATGAAAGGATGCCGTCATGGTGAGCATAGACATCTGATTTACCATCCTCTGACTCAACACACTGCTACATTTAACACTTTTCGTGACGAAGGGCAATTTGCGCGTAAAGCGGCATAGCGTCGCATTGGAATTTATGTGACAAAAAGTTCGTCACGCAAGGGTTGTGAAAATAGACTTTAAGCGACAAGAACACAAATTTTGTCGCACAAGAATGAGAATGCGCGACAACGGAGACGTTGTCGCGCAAAATTTAAGGGAACGAAAATAGTTTGTCGTGCGTAACCTGATGCAACAAAATGAGCTGGACGGGATACAGTACATGGGACGGTGGTTCTGGTGGCGGGTAAGTTTGCGCGATGAATACAACACTAGTTCACAAAACTTTAAGTGACCAATCGTCGCGCGGTGTTAACTTTTTTAATTAATTTTGTTTTTCTTTGTTAATTTAATTGTTTTTTTTTTGTTCTGGTTACATAATTTATTTAAATTATAATTATTTTTTTTATTAAAAATGAATGGAGGAAAAAAGTGACATTTATATATCAAATAAAAATGTACATACAAGTAAAAAGTTTAAAACTAAGAAAAAAGAAACCTATAATCTATTTGTGTTGGAAATGTGCCCTAAAACCAATCATATGATGATACTTTATGGACATTTCACATGTTAAACTAATATAGTTTAATTTAAAGGGCAAAGATTATTGTTTGAAGCCATCTCATATAAATGTTATATGCTTAAACGATAAGTCCAAGGAATATGTAATTGGGAGAATGCAATCTAAAGAAGTTAGATTCATGAGACCATTCTCTTTCGTATACATATCCTACACGTTCCTGATCATAGGATTGCCAATTGAGCATTGACAGTACGTGCTATGTCTTCTCTTAGGGAGAGTGACTGGTCTCGAGTCATTGGTGTGACTGACACCAAGACAAGTACGTAGGTGCTCAATAGAGAATGAGTTCACTGAACGCTATCAACACGGAGTTCTCATACTCATGTCACATGAGAACTCATGGTTGGGATAATGCAAAGTAGTCCTTTGACCTGAGCATCATAGTTGTCTTGTGGTTAGGTCCTTGATCTTTGACTATGTCAAAGTCACTCCATCCGAGGGTGGCCACGACATAGTTGGGGTTAAGCCACTTAGCCATGGAGGCAAGTGAATGTGCAACAAAAGATCTCTAACCTTCAAACTGTTTGAGGGATGATAGGAGCATATTTATGTGACTTAGTTAGCTTGTTCTTATGTTGTTATTTCTTAGTTGATTTAGTATTTCAAGCCATTTTCGTGTGGTTGTAGGTACAAAGGTTTAAAGAGGCAAATAAGTGCATTTTGGTGCCTTTTGGAGCAGTTTTGGGCATGGAATGGATATCACATGCATGGAGCAAAGTGGTTGGACGAAATTAAAGATCTAAAGAAGCTAGGAATGTGCCAAAGAAAGGAAGAAAATAAATTGAGGACCAAGGAAGACAAGGAAACCATTAAGAATGAGGAAAGACTAGTCAAACTTGCCTTATCTTGTCGTTACCTTTCCTAATCCTAAATTACCAAAGATTTAGTCACACGAAGGGTTCCTAAATACTTTGGGACATTTCATTACATATTCTAGAAGTCCTAAACCTGCCCTAAAAGTCCAAGCCATATCATCCTTCACCATTTCTCTTCCTTGCCGTGCAAGGGAGCCATTTCCTTTCCTATTTTTAGCCATAAATCACTCCATTTTACCACCCATGCCGTGCACATTCATCCATGTTCCCTCCTTGCACTTATTTGCTGCACCATTCTACTTCCTTTCCTTTGTCTACCATGTGCACAATATCCTTTCACCTCCTTGCACTCATTGATTCACCACTTACTCACATTTCCACCCAATCCATGCATAATCACCCTTGTCCCCTTCATGCACCAGATTTCTTACACTCATTTCATACACCATTACACTCATTATCCACCCATGCCGTGCACCACCCTTGTCTCCTTCATTATTTCTGATTTCATACACCATTACACTCATTATCCACCCATGCCGTGCACCACCCTTTATGACTCGAAGTTCTCAACCTGTTCATAAGCACATCTTTGACTTTGACGACGATTTTGAACGAACTTTGAGACGAGCAAGGAATCAACAAAAACCCCAACCATCTCAACCTGCACCAGAAGACAAAGTAGAAGAGCAAGAGGAGGCCACGACAAGGACTTTTGAAGAAGTCCAAGATATGGCAGTAGACAATCGAACAATCAAGGAGCTTTCCGCTTCGGGATTGGACAATGCTCTGCCTTTATGCATTCAATATCCAAGGGCGGCCCAAAACAAGACCGACAAGTTCGAATTAAAGTCCAGTTTATTGCACCATATTCCTAAGTTCCATGGGTTGTCCATGGAAGATCCTAATAAACATTTGAATGAGTTCGAGGTTGTTTGTTTGAGCATGACCCCTGTGAATGTTGATGGGAGCATTCTGAAAATGAAGGCTTTTCCATTTTGCTCTCTTGGAAAAGGCTAAAGATTGGTTGTATGAGCTAACCCCCAGAACCGTCACATCATGGGAGAGTATGAAACGGGCATTTTTGGAGAAGTTTTTACCAATTTCTCGAGTCATTCTACTACACAAAAGGATTAGTGGCATTCAGCAAAACCAAGGTGGATTCTTTCCCACTTACTATG